TTTTCTTTCTCCCACCTCCCCTTCTCCAGTACCCCCCAGAACCATTGGTCCTGTTCTTTTCATCTCTGAATTATTTATCACGCCTATCTTATCTAGATAGATATGCAGATACATTAACAAGTGCAAAAAAAACAGGCAAAGCTAAATAAAACAACAAAGGAAGTCGAAACAAGCAAAACAATAACAACAGCTGCAAAAAACAAAGACAAAATAGCAACAAAAAGAAAGCCACTGACAAAAATGGAAAAATCTATAAATAGTTCAAGGTCTGTTTATTGGCCTTTACGAGTGTTTTTCAGTCAAGTCTGATGGGGTGCCACACTCTGTCTCCCAGGTGTATTTTTCACACCATTTTATTAGAAACTAATCCAGACATTATACCAATGGTTCAAATCACAACACACAGTATAATAAAATTGCTACCACACCACAATCAGTTTCAAAACATTTTCTTCCTTCTTGAACTCCTGGATATCATCTCTTCCAACCCCCCACTTCCCCCACCATACTCTTATTCTAATTGTCTCTATAGGTTCTTGCGTCTTTTGGGGGGCCACCTGGAAGGATTAGCTCTGGACAGCCTAGGAGTTGTGAGGATGGTGCGGTGCTGCCACCTGGTGGCGGAGAGTAGCAGGAAAAACTGTCCCTGTAACAGTCAACAAGTCAACTGCAACCTTAAGGATAGAGTAGCGCTGCCCATGTGGGTTTCTGAGACCATAACTCTTCATGGGATTAGAAAGCCTCAACTTTCTCCCACTGAGCAGCTGGGTGGTTTCAAACTGCTGACCTTATGGTTAGCAAACCAATGCATTACCACTATGCCACCAGGGCTCCTCCAAAAGCAGCCTAGATGACTGTTTGGAGCAAAGAGAAAACTATGCCCACTGAATCCTGCCCAAATTCTAGATCTGCAAGTAGTAGTGAGTTTTGCAATTATACCTCAGGGTATCAAGAATTCCTGGTGGTGGAGTGGGTTCCATGTTGGATGACTAACCACAGGAGGGCAGTTCAAACCTACAAGAAAACCCTCCCCTCTCCCCCTTTTCCACCCCTCTCTGTGGGAGAAAGATGAGGTTTTCTGCTCCCTTAAAGATGTACAATCTTGGGTGATGGGGGGAGGAAAAAAAGAGGAGCTGAAACCAAGGGCTCAATAGAAATTAAATGTTTAGAAAATAAATATGGCAACATATATACAAATGTGCTTAATATAATTGATGTACGGACTATTATAAGAGCTGGAAGAGCCCCCAATAAAATGATCTTTTAATAAAAAAATTTTTTAAGATTTATAGTCTCAGAAGCGCACAGGGTTTCTACTCTACCCTACAAGGTCACTATGAGTCAGAATTGGCTTCACAGCAGTGAGTTTCCTCATGTGGGGTTAATTGAAAGGCAATTACCTCAGAGCCTTGCTCTTTGCTGACCTGTTGAAGTGTGTCTGCCCTAAAGTCTTGCTTCTCCAACTCTACACATGCTGTGGCCTTGCCACAACTGCTGTTCTCCCCAAGGGTCACCAGGTAAATTGCAATTCTCTATTTTCAACACCCTGATCCTTTTCTGGGTATCCTTACTTCCTTCTTCTTGCTACCATTAGGCCCCAAAGCTATAGAAATCTCCACAATATAGGAGTTCTCTGGGGACAGCAGGGTCCTTTCTCTACCCAGTTCCCAGAAGAGAGTGTAAAGGTGAAACTGTGACAAGAGGAGACAGATGAAGTATAAGGTAAACTGAGGCACAAGGACATAACTAACAGGACAAGGGAGAGCAAAAACAGAAATAGCTTTATTAGAGGGTAAGCTCCAGATAAGGTTCTGTGACTGAGGCCAACAGATCAGGCAAGTTGTGCTCAGTAGCCAGGAGTGGGGGGGCACTTAAAGGGGTGGTGGAATGTGTGGCAATTAGAATATGGGGTCTGGACACTCCGAGAATTGCTTGTTGACTCCTTGTGGTTTTCTTTGAACCCGGGTCATCTGGTCTCACTGGTTATCTTACCTGGTGCCTTCTGCTGCTGACTTCCAGGGACGTTCAGGGAAGCAGGGCCCTGACCTGCTTCATCTCATCCCAATCTAGGAGCTCCTTCTCTGGACCCCAAGCCAAGACCTCTATGTGATAAACCTCCTTCATCCAAGGACAGAAAGCCATGACTCCATGGAACAGCAGAGGAAACAGAGCATGAGACTGAGCAGGGGCTTCCTGGCCATTGAGCAAGTGAAGCTGAATGCCTTCAGGGAGGTGGCTCCTTTGAGGAGGGTGCCTCCAGGCACTTAATTGGGGGCTTTTAGCTTCTCTGAGATCAAATGGCGCATTCCATTATGTAAATTTGTTGCACAAGACCTCTTTGAAATGTTGAAAAACAAGGAGTTACTTTGAGCACTATGGTGCTCCTGACCCAAGCCAAGGGTATTTTCAATCACCTCATATGCATGTGTCAGTTGGGCTTTGACTAAGAAAGATTGAAGAATGGTGCATTTGAATGATGGTGCTGGTGAAGAGTATTGAAAGTACTATTGACTGCCAAAAGAATAAACAAATTTGTCTTGGAAGTAGTGCAGCCAATGCTTCTTAGAAGCAAAAATAGTAAGGTTTCATTTCATGTACTTTGGACATGTTTTCAAAAGAGACCAGTCCCTGGAAAAGGACATCACCCTTGACAGAGGGTCAGTGAAGAAGACCCTCAGAGGTGAGGATTGGCACAGTGGCTGCCACCACAGCTCACACAGGGTACTTGAGACTGGCACAGGACAAGGCAGTATTTTGTCTTGTCGTACATGGGATCACTGGAATTTTAGAAGGAAGTGGAAAAAGGCAGAAATAGCTTCAATGTCCCTCAAAAAGAATGATGATTTGGGGGGACTTCAAGCCATTACAGAGGCCCTGGTGGTGGAGTGGTTATGCACGGGGCTGTGATCTGCATTTCAGCAGTTTGAAACCACCAGCAGTTTAGCAGGAGAAAGGCTGGGCTTTCTACTCCCGCAAACAGTTACAGTCTCAGAAATCCACAGGGGGTCGCTATGAGTCAGCATAGACTTAATGACAATGATTAAGACTTATTACAAAACAGACAGGTGGAATAGTGGGTTATGCATTGGACAAATTCAGTAGTTCATATTCGCTAGCTGCTTCAAAGGAAAAGGGTGAGGTTTTCTGCCCCTGTAAAGATTTACAGCCCCAGAAACCCTATTTAGGGTGACTATGAGTTGGAATTGACTTGCTAGCAATGGGTTGAGTGGCCGCAATATGGTACAGTACTCATAGACTAAAAATCAAAACAAAAACAAACTAACTTATTACCAAAGAAGCCCTGGTGGTTTAGTGGCTGTGTATTGGGCTGATAACCACAAGGTCGGCAGTTTAAAAGCACCACCCACTCTGATAGAGAAAGAGGAGACTTTCTACTCCAGTAAAGGGTTACAGTCTCAGAAACCCACAGAGGCAGTTCCACGCTGATCTATCAATAGGGCCGCTATGAGTTGGAATCGACTCAAAGGCACAGAGCTTTGTGAGTTTAACCTGTTACCACCAAGCCAATTCCAAGTCATGACAACTCTGTCCTTCACTCTGCCCTTCACTCATCCCTATCAGAGCTCTTGGTATGAAGCTGCTACTGTAAAAACCCATTACCTTCTAGTTCCATTTTCCCATGAACCTTTTGGTAGAGGTGGTTACAAGTTGGGCTGCTAATCACAAGGTCAGCAGTTCAAATCCACCAGCTGCTCTGCAGAAGAAAGATGGGGCTTTCTGCTTCTGTAAAGAGCAGTAGTCTCAGAAACCCATAGGATCAGTTCTACCGTGTCCTATAGGTTCCCTGTGAGTCTGCATCTGCGGTGAGCTTGTTCACTTTCAGTATAATCTTGATTGGAGCAGCTCACCAGGCTTTCTTGAGTGGCTCTGCTGGGTGAGTTTAAACCACCGCCATATGCAGACCAAGAACAAACTCAGAGACTAACTCACAGAACCAAAATCTACTGCAACAAGTCAATTCCAATTCATAGCACTGACTCCCAAAGTTATTTCACCTAGCACCCCTTTTCAAAAACAATCACTCAGGACCCCCCTGGAAATTCAAAGCTTCTGGGCCCATAAAGTGCAGGCCTCTCTTCTGCTGCACATCCAGGATCACTCCAGCATCCCCTGAGGTGATATCACATATTTTTTAAAACACTGCAGTTTCTGGAGCTGTACATAAATCTTTATAACAGCCTCGTCTTCTTCCAGCAGAGCATATGGTTGGCTTGAACCACAGACCTTAAAGTTAACAGCTCTGCACTTACCTGACAGAGCCATCGGAGCTTCTATGGCACAGAAACTCACTGCCACAGAGTCAATCCCGACTGATTCATAGTGACCCTATAGGACAGGGTAGAATTGCCCCTGTGGGTTTCCAAGACTGTAACTTTTTAGGGGAGTAGAAAGCCTTGTGTTTCTCCCACGGAGTGGCTGGTAGTTTTGAACTGCAGGCCACAGGTCAGCCCAACACATAACCTACTAAGCCACCATAGTCAGCCATGGGGGTCACTATGAGCTATGAATCAGAATGCACTGGGTTTGAATTTGAGTTGGGGCAGGAGGGTTCTAAGTCAGGTGAGGAAACAGAGGTCCAGAGAAGTTGGACATTGCCCAGGTCACACAGCTGCAGAGCTAGAAGATTCTAGGGTACTTTGTTGTCCCACGTTGCCCAGACTTTCTAGTTCATTC